AGAAAAACATATTATGATTTTTGTTTTTGGGGTTTAGGGTTTAGGGCTTCGGGCTTAGGGTTTAGGGTTTAGGGTTTAGGGTTTAGGGTTTAGGGTGTGAGGGGGTGAGGGGGTGAGGGGGGGGTCAGGGCCAGGATTCCTGTTTGCTGCCGACGACTTTGTCGCATCACCTTACCCCGAAAATCCTAGACCATGAATCATAAAGATAAACACCATATGCTCGAAAGAAACTTTGGAATTCCAAACTTCGTCATATGCCTCTTAGGTCACATTGAATGGCTCTTTGGCCGATGGGTTGCCCTCCTTTCTATCCCAGAATGCCAGACGCTCAACTTTAGACGGCGATAGACAAGCTACAAGACAAGACAGACTCGAGGCGCAACTTAAATTAGCACATGAGAAGCTTAGGCCTTTAGGGCTTCAGCACAGCGACTCCCCCAACTGCAGCTGCTCAATGCTTTTGATCTCACGCCTCTAATGGACTAACGGATTTGGGATTCGTGGTTCTGGGGTTCCAGAAGCAGAAGGGTATCAGCTCCAAACCTCCCCTACCGCAACTCCGTGTACCATTTCCGAGCATCGCAAGGACTCGGGGCCACGCGTAAAGTATCGACTGGTGCTCTCTGACAGCACGTCATGTCGTTACAGTAGCATTACCCTTCACCCCCTTGTGGAGGGCTGATTCCATCTTGGCACCCCAAAAAACTGTAAGAAATGACCGAAACAAGAAGCCCCAAGCGGGAACGTCGTACATGCCCAGAACTCTGAACAACTAAGCTCAACCTAACCTCATAGCCCCAAAAACCCCCAAACCCGAAAACCTAAACCCAAACGCCCCAAAACCCTAAACGGGGGTTTCCGAAATTAGGGGTACCTTATTCGGGTCCTTCGTAGAAGGGAATCCTACTATGTAGGGATCTATATTTGGGGTCCCCTATTTTCGTAAACCACCAAAACCCTAAACCCTAAACCCAAAACCCAAAACCCTAAACCCTAAACCCTAAACCCTACTCCACGGGTGCTCCTCTGTGCGGCGTCATCGAGAACGGGGGCTGCCGCCGCGGGCGGGGGAAGGAGCTCGGCAAGGGCCTGTCATCAGAATGTATAGGGTTTAGGGTTTAGCGTTTAGGGTTTAGGGTTTAGGGTTTACAGGGTTTAGGGTATAGGGTTTCTAGACCCAAGAGTAGCCTAGGATCAGAAAAGGGTGCTCATTTTGGTTTAAAGGTGTTTATAAGGGAACGTAAACCCCCAAAAAGGGAATAAGGGCCTAAGTACTCTGGGTCCTAGGTTTAGGACGCCCGCGTGGGTTTAGTTTTTCTTTGCCTGCAGTGGGGTTTACGGTTTAGGGTTAAATACATTAAAGGTCTAGGGTTTAGGGTAAACGCGGGGTAAGAAGCTCAGGGACTTTGGGTTTTGGTTCCTAACCCTAAACCCGAAGCTGGTTGAGAGGGCTCGAGTCGCCATTTGAGGAATCTCGGCAGCCCCAGTACCCATCACACATTGCCCATGGGAACGGGAACGCCTGACTTGCCAGATGACACAGTGGACCCACCACAACCTGAATCTGATTTTTCGGGCTGACAGTTTTTCGGCACGTCCTGACTCTTGCGGAAAGGACCGTCGGTGGGTTCCTGGAAAGTGGCGGGCCTTCTGATGACTGCACGGAGCAGAGGGCTCGTGGACGTGCTCGGGCTCTGACTCAATCGGGTGTGGACCGTGCTTTGGCAAAGCTCGCTGTCTACGCTTCCATGTGCGCATGCTGCGTATGAGCTTACAGAAGACCACTGCTAGCTTGGTGCATCAGAAGATTGGCGATCAAGCTCATGGCGGAGCCTCTTTGAGACATTTGCGCTGGGTGTTGCTGTGGCACGCTGGCAAAATTCCGCAACCCTTACATCGAAATTGGGAGCCTTGTTGCCGTACTGTTCAACAGCAGATTGCATCGGACAGCCTCTGCGTCAGCCGTGGCAGGCATTTGTTTCAGACCGACATTGAAGCAGACGCTCGAGATCGCAGTGAGTAGCATCAGGGTGGCCGCCCACAAGGGGAAATTTTCCGCGCTTCGTTCGACGTGGTCTTGTACCTGCCAGGTGCTGTGAAGGATTTCGTTGAGCACGTTCCCCGCTGCAGATACCACGTCGGTGCGTATTCTGCACGATCGGCGCTGGTTTCCCATCATGATGGAGCCAAATGACTTTATTTGGGACCTTGGCATATGATGGCAAATGAGGTTTGAGTTTTGTTGGTCAGTACTTTGGTAGTCATGGATCACTTGGAGTCCGTCTTTCCAGGATTCGGCTTTGCCAGGAAACTGCAGTGAGTGTGAGACGACTTTCCCCCGTCGGTTGACTCTCTGACTGCTTTCGCTGCTGTGCTGCGAGGGGCTCGGCAGATTTCTGCTCCAGGGCAAATGCGCTGACAAAAGTTGCCGGCGAGCCGCTGGGTGTGCACTGCCAACCCCTTAGGCCCCTAGAAGTTTCATGCGCGGAATTTGGCACACAGAACAAAACAGAAACCGGCGAGAACACCACAGCCCATGCACATGGGTGCTCGAGAGGACGGGGCTCTGCCCTGACGCGTGGCAATAGCCTCCTCGCTAGGGGCTGCTAAACTGAGTGCGCCGCTACCCCGCTCGTCTACACTATCACACACCCTAACCCCTGAACCCGAAACCCTAAACCTAAACCCTACCTCATGGCCCCAGTCGAGATACCCGACGCTCTTGACAGCTTCTGGCACCTCCTCTGCTTCGGCGGCCATGCGCTGCGCCTCCTTCCGCGGAAGTCAGCTGACATCATTCTCTAGACAGAATGCATAGGGTTTAGGGTTTAGGGCTTAGGGTTTAAGGTTTAGGGTTTATAGTGGTCAGGGTATAGGGTTTCGAGACCCAGGAGGAAGGTAGGAATAAAAAGGGCAATGTTGCGCTCTTAAGCGTTCTTCCGGAAAACTTATAGGGGACCCCCCCATTGATGAGGGTGGTCCGCAATTATGCGAAGTGCGCGGCCCGGGGATGAAGGGCGGGGGCCGGAGAGCCAAAACTGAAAGCCACTTTGAATAAGAAGCTCCAGAAATTTCTGGTGTCCGGCTTTGTTTAAATTCTTTCGAAAATTTCATTGCGAAACAGGCCCCCAGACAATTTTCCAAGGGAGTAGCCCACGACTGCCCTGATTCGCTCTTAGCAAATTGTTTCGGGTACCCGCATTAATCCGCAGCCCCCCTGGCCAGGGAGCTGCAAAGCATGGAAAGCTTAGACCCTCGAGCTTCAAGGCTTCCCTTCAACCCTCGACCCCTAGCCGCCCTACCGCCAGCCGCCGCCCCAGCCTATAGAGGATCCCCGAAATGGGGGGGGGGGGAGCCCTGGACACTAAAGCGAGTCCAACATTACCCTTGTGGGTGTTAAGGGGATTACAAAAAGCAACCCCAACCCTAAAAAAAGGAAATAAGGGCCGCCTCGGGGTCCTAGTTCTTATGATCGTTGCATTTCCACTTACCCGCGAGAGAAAACTAAAAGATGCTAAGAATAACAAATGGCGTTGAATCTATCAGTCTTGAGATGAGGGAAGGATTTGACGAGGAATTATCAAAAGGAATCTCATGACATGACTTATCAAAATAGTATATCAAACCTTGTAATGACATATTTCATGATTCAGAGACATATCCTTTTTTGGAAGATTTGTCACCCTGCCCGAAATCGAAGAAACAAGGTTTTCCTTCCTGGATCTCCCTGCTTCATACAGCCCTGGCCTGGCCGAAGTAGACCTCAAAAACCCTAGACCTCGAAAGAATTTGAACTAAAGCCCTGAAGCCCTGAGCCCTTAACTGAACCCTCAACCCCTGAACTCCTGAGCCCTAAACCCTGAAGCCCTGAACCCCAAACCCAAAAACCCAAAACCCGAAGAGCTCATGGCCTGTTTGTGCCGACGATTGGGTTGAGGGTTGTTTCGTTCAAGGCTTATGCTCCTAGGCTGTATCATACCCACAAGCCAAAGGAGGTAACAGAACAATTCGGGCTTGGGTTTCGGGTTTAGGGTTTAGGGTTTAGGGGTTGAGGGTCGAGGGTTGAGGGTTGAGGGTTGAGGACTTTGTTTCAGGAGCCGAAATTCTTGGGGGCCCTTAGGGTGTATGGAGGTCATACTGGTTCTTAGCACCCAGTATACATTCCCATAAGAGGTACACAGACGTAAGGCGCCTAAATTGACGAGTTCTTTACTAGGAGCTCGTAACATAGAACGTTCCTACACCCTAAACCCATCCTATAACCCTAAACCCTAAACACGCCGCGCTTTGTTTCCCAGCACAGCGGCTTGCAGTCGCAGGGTTTGATATCGACCCCGGTTTCGGCCGAGAAGGACATCGTTGTGGCAGAGAACTCCCAGGTCTCACTTCGAAAACATAACCCTAAAACCCTGAACCCTAAACTCTTCAGACTTCTATGCGGTTCTGAAATTCCGTAGTGAAGCTTTACTTGCAAGCTCTTGGACAGGATCTTTACAGGATTCTATAGGGACCCTAACTCCCTAAGTACTGGGACGAGTAAGGTGAACCGACAAAATATCCCGAAATCCAGAAAAGACGGACCCTCCACGGCGTGATGTCCGGCTCCTAGGTCCGTGTTGGACACCAGAAAGCGCCGGCAAAAAAAGGGTGCCGAATGCACCGCACAGCGGTGCATAGTTTAGCAACTGTCGTGCACGAGGCTTTTCCAGGGCAAGTGGCTTCGACATCTTGCTGAAAGGAATTGAACAGCTGGACTCATCCCTCCCCCCAATATTAAAGGGATTACGTGGATTCCTTGGTTCGGTCTTGAGCTAAACCGTCGCATGTTTACGGCGTCTGCATCCCAAGAGCGAGAGCTAGTGGCCCTAGTCAATGCAACCCCCTCCATCCCAGAAACGTTGAACCCTAAACCCTAAACCTAGACTCTAAACCCTAAACCCTAAACCCTAAACCAACGTCCCGCACCAAGCCGTTCATGGTCAGGACGGTGAGAAATGAGGCTATCTACGACCTCTACGGGCACGTCTCGTGATCTTCCTGTGCATGGCGAATCCCAAGAGCGTTTCCGAAAACTCATTGATGGCATCGGTGAAGTACACCCCTTTGACCTCACAGAAACGGCCTTATAGGAATGCAAAGCTGAAGAGTTTGGAGTCTTTCGGGTTCTTTTGGGGGTCAAAGGGTGCTGCATCCAGCCCCCACTTGGACGTTCATGGTACTTGCTAACCAAGTATAACTGTACATATAACTGTACTTGTAACCATATTAGGGCCCTTAAGGCAGTAATAACTGGCTAAGATGTACCATAAACCCTAAACCCTAAACCATAGAACCTCCAAGCAGTGCGACCCCTATCCCAAATCCCAGCCCTGTTCTGTGCTGGGCATGGCGGGTGTCTGGCTTCAGGGACGGCCTAGAACCCAAACCCCCTAACACTCATAAGACTCATAAGCCCCAGGGTTGATGGTTTAGGGTTTAGGGTTTTACCCTAAACCCTGAACCCGAAAACCCAATATCCCAACCCTAAATCCTATGGGAGAACCCCAAGGATGCAGGAGCTACAGGTTTTTGTGCTTGGAGCTGGGAATCTTAACCCTAGACCCGAAATCACTTTTCCAGGGATGTCGCTCAAGAAGCCCCCATGGGCTTATTTTCGGGGTTCAGCTCTGCCGAGCTGCGTCCACGCCATCGGTTTCCAGTATCCAGTTGCCGCCGGCAGCGGAATTCCTGATGCCCAGTTCAAGCCAGGCGCGTCCAAAAGGCCCCAAACCCTCAAGTCCCCACACCTCCTGCGCTCGACATATGGAGCGGGATTTGCAAATGTGCCTGCGATACTACGGGCCCGCAAGGTACCCAAAGGTTTCAGGGCCTTCCTCTTCTGGCATATGCCACCTCTGCATACTGCTACGCAGCTCAAGCTCAGCAAGGAACCCAACACAATTCAACTTTGGCTTGCAGTGCTTGAAGCGTTCTGGGTTCATGGGTCCAAGGGATAGGAAGCAGGGTTTGGACTGCTGTTGTCAACCCTACTTGTGGAACGTTGGAAGGTGCACTAAATTACTACCTTTCAACCTTCATGAGCCTCCCCCGCCCCCCCCCCCCCACCCCCCGAAAAACAAAAACAAACGACTCAAGAAAGCCACACCACCTTCTCCAAAACCATCTGCACCCTAAACCCTAACAAACCCTCCGGTTTCCTCCCACCCCCCCGTGCCGGCGCAAAAACGAACAAAACGACCCAGAGAAATCCCAACATCTAATTACTCCAAAACCCTAAGCCCAGAACCCTGCACCCTAAACCCCATAAACAGCAAGAATAGCCTGCTACATCCTCTTCCACGCGAAAAGCACAACCTGGACGTACACCCCTATAGAGCACTCAAAGGGCTTCGGGGCCTCCTCTTTGTTAACGAGTCTTTGGGCTTCACGGTTTAGGGCTTCTAGGGTTTCTAGGGCTTCCAAGGTTTAGGGATAAACCCTAGAAACACCCTAAACCCTAAACCCTAAACCCTAAAACCCTCAACCCTAAACCCTAAACCCTGAACCGTTGGGGTTTACCCCCCCCCCCCCCAACGCCCTTTGCAACAGATGGAGGCTCCCCGTCAAGTCCGTGGACGCTGCCAAGTTGATACCTGACTCTTGCTCCAGCTCTTTGAAGACCTGGAGAGATGATGTTTAGGGTCTTGGGCTTAGGGTTTAGGGTTTAGGGTTTAGGGTTTAGGAGTTAGGGCTTAGGGCTTAGGGCTTAGGGCTTGGGGCTTAGTTTAGGGCTAGGGTTTAGGGTTTTGGGGTTTAAGGTTAAGGGCTCAGGAAGTAGCAAGTGGGGCAGGAACCAATATGGTCAATTCTGCAAGTAGGCTCTCTGGCCAGGCTCCGAAACGGGGCCACAATTTGCAGAACTGATCACACTTGTTTCTGTTCCGGTCCATCAACCCTAAACCCTAAACTCTAAACCCGTTGTTCGGAGATTGCCTTATCAAACACTGCACCCTAAACCAAGAAATCCTTTTGAAACACCCTCAGCACCGAACCCTCAATCGCGGACTCCTCCAACTAAGACCTACAGTCAGGGGTTTGAGGTTTGGGGTGTAGCTTGCACATCTAAGCTCGAACCCTCAACTGCAAACTACCAAACAGAACCCACACCGTCTGTGAAGCCGCCAAAAGCCCCAGCAATGCCCCCCACCCCGCGAATGCCTGAACCGAAAAACTAATCCAAACCCCTAACCACAAACCCCAAAGCACAACTCTCAGACCCTAAAGCCCAAACCCTCAACCCCAAACCCACCTAAATTGCACACCACTCGCGCAAACCCCAAAGCCCAAAGCCTACCAATAACCTCAAACCCTAAACCCTAAACCCTAAACCCCGTAAACCCTACCAATAGCGAAGTCTGGCCTGCAGCCCTGTGGGCCCCGCGACCATCTCGCAAGCGAGGATGTCCACTCGCGCTCCCTCGAAAGGTCAAGTTTGGGGGCTTCCCGAGCAACCGAGTGTCTCAGGGTTTAGGGTTTAGGGTTTAGGGTTTAGGGTGTAGGGTTGTTTCAACATGGTCCCCCTCCTTGAAAGGGTTCTGAAAGAATGGGCCCTTGGGCCTTATGATTAGGGTGTATAAGGGGGATCTGAGGGGTCCCCGTTTAAGGGCCCATGTAACTACCCCAAGAGAGTGAGGCAAAAGATGTTTAGGGCTTAGGGTTCAGGATTTGTGGCTTAGGGTTTAGGGTTTGGGGATTCAGTGCTTAGGGCTCGAAAACGGTACACGAGTACCACTGTGGATGTCTCAACAATGGAGAGAGAAACCAGGCTAAGGGTTTTATTCTGACCTCCCTCAACCCTAAACCCTAAACCCTAAAACCTAAACTCATATGCATATACAAATACAACACAAACTTTCTCTCACTCTACGGCTGCAGGCTCTTGGCATAAGACCCCCCCTTTCTTAACCCTAAGTGCTCGAAACTCCCTCTAACCCACACCGAGTACAGGAAGCAAAGCTCCTAAGCCGTAAGCCCTAAGGCCCTAAGGCATCAACCCGAAACCCTAAACCCTACATCCTAAACCTAAACTTTAGACCCCAAACCCCAAACCCCAAATCCTAACCCTAAATCCTAAACCCTAAACACTAAACCCTAAACCCTAAACCTGCCTCTGCGAGGTATGGCTTCAAGGCTGCCAGGAACTTCAGGTTCTGCTCCTGCAGGCGCCATTAGGAGTACTTTTGGGGGGGTTAGGGTTCAGGGTTTAGGGTTTGGGGTTTAGGGTCTAGGGTCTAGGGTCTTGGGTCTTGGGTCTAGGGTTTAGGGTTTAGGGTTTAGGGTTTAGGGTTTAGGGTTTAGGGTTTAGGGTTTAGGGTTTAATAGGGTTAGGGTTTAATAAGGTTTAGGGCTTAGGTGGAGGGCGGGGCGGGGGTTTTGGGGGCTTGGGGGCCATTAAGCGTTAGAGGTATTTATGCTACGTACCCCTAAACTCGAAGCCCTGATCCCTAAACCCTAGAGGTGTGGCGGTTGTGTTTGGGAGTATTTTTGGGGGGGTTTAGGTGCTGCGGGTTTGGGGGCCATGGAGCTATTGCAGGCGCATCCCTCAGCGCAAGTCACCTGTGACTCTTTGGACCTTCGACCTTCAACTGGACTTGCTCCTGAACGAGCCCCAAAGAACTTCTTTGCTGGAGGGTTTAGGGTTCAGGGTTTTGAGGGGTGGAGGTTCCTTGTACTCGCCAGTCATCTCTGTGCCGTGGAACATCCAGCCGACATGGGTGAAGGACCCCTCGGGCACCTCCATGAGTTTGGGTAGACAGGTCAGGTGTACTTGAAGTCTATCTCTGCCTTTTGAGGTACTATAAAATACACCACTTCCCTTGAGTGATGGAAGATTTGGGGTTCAGGGTTTGGGGTATCAAGCCCGATAATCCTAACCCTAAACCCTAAACCCTATAAACCCTAAACCCTAAACCCTAAACCCTAAACCCTAAACCCTCTAAACCCTAAACCCTAAACCCTAAACCCCTACAACCTTGGGGGTTGGGTGCACAAGGATGCCGGGCGAGCCTCCGCTGCAGTCATCGCGGCCACGATGTCATCCCAAAGAGTATGCTGCTCCTCTCTTAAGTTGTAGGGTCCTCATATGGGCCCTAAACCCTAAACCCTAAACCCTAAACCCTAAACCCTAAACCCTAAACCCTAAACCCTAAACCCTAAACCCTAAACTGTGGGACCCCTGGTATACCCCTTGTATACCCCTTATATACCCCTTATATATGCGCAACAAAAACCCCCAAAGGGCCCATACTTCATATCCCTTTAAAGGAGGTAAGGGACCATGCTAAGAGACCATATAGCTACCCCTAGACTGCATGCATGGTCCCCTGGCTAGGGCTCCTGACCGTTCTGAAGTGTGGGCCCCAGAGCGCTTCATAGGGTATATACGGGGAGATGTTTCTTTCAGGGCTGCCTGCTGCTCGTTTGGAGGGGTTCTAGTCTGCTGCGATTCAGTCATGCATGCATGGGTGCCTGCCACACTGCAACGCATCTATGTGGGTATGCATGCAGGTACGTATATCCTCTCCGTCGATGACACACGTCAAATGCTAATATGACTGATCGAGCTGATATCACAGCTAAACGTACGTACTTACGTACATCGTTGTGTGTGTACGTACACATGGCATGTGCGTGTGGGTGAGTGGGTGGGTGGCTGGCTGGGTCCCCTGATTGTTTGTGTGCATCTATGCACCCACGTATCTACGTATCTAAGCATCTACGCAAGCCTCTACGCCCATGTATCTGAGAATCTATGCATGTACATATCCATGTATGTTGCTTCGCAGTGCGAAAGTGCTGGTAGTGCGTCGTTGCTGGTCTCCCGGTTCCTTCGACCCCACCTCGCTGAAACCGACCCCAAACACACCCTGACAGACATGAAGCCTAGACCAAACCCCATTGAGCCACAACCCTAAACCCAATTGAGCCTAAGCCCTAACCCCTACACCCCTAATCAAGCCTTAACCTTCAACCCTAAACCCTAACTCAGCCTTACCCGAAACCCTGAACCATACGGACCTCTCTCAGGCCAGATGAAGGCCCTAAGCCCCTGAACCCCTAAGCCCCTAAGCCCCTGAAACCCAAAAACCCCTAAACCCCAAACCCCAAACCCCTAAACCCTAAACCCTAAACACTAAACCCTAAACCCCTGAACCCTGAGATCCCAGTCCGTGGAGGCGTACCACATCTGGAGCACTCCTTCCTTGCGCCGCGTCTTCCGACACGTGGGGATGTCTTCGGCTAGGACTCCAAGGGTCTGAGTTGAGGGTTTTGGGGTTTTTAGGTCTAAGGGTTTTAGGGTTCTAAGGTTGGTTGAGGGCTGGTTTCGGGCTTTTGGAGCTCAGGGCTCCAAGGGTTTAGGAGCCACGGGGCTGAGGGTGTCGAGTTTGCATGAAGGTGCTTGGGCTATTGGGGCCACTCGAATTGGGAGTACAAAGTGGTTCTGCAGCCATGGGCTTTGTCGAACTTCAAGGCTCTCCATCTTCGAGCCCAACCCAAACACAAGAATGCCACATCTCCGAAACCAGCCTCACGGTGACATTGTGGACGCCCCAGGAGCAGCTTGGGTTGGGGGGTTTAGAGTTTAAGGGTTTTGCGCGCAGCAGTGGGTTCTCGAAGCGCTTATCGCCCCCCCCCCCCCGCCGCCTTCGCGGCATTGGCAGCGATGGGCCAGGAGAGGATTCCGTCGCTGATCCACAGCAGCGTCTTCTCCTGAGTCAGCTTAGGCCAGTGTGTCGGAGCTTTCTTTTTGCTCTGCATCGTTTTTGTTGCTCCCTTTTGCTTTTCGGAGCTCTCCATCTTTTCAAAGGAAAACCTCTATGTTTTCTCCAGAAACACACTGCCAGGATAGGTTTGACAAAGATGCATGTCAAGCTTGCGTGGGGGGTTGGAGTGTAGCGGGGCAAGGGAGGGGGGGGAGGGAGGGGAGGGGAGGGGCGGGCGGGAGGGAGGGGGATCTGCAAACAATGCTCGCATGATGGGCTTCGAAAAGACTCATATGCTTTGAAGCAAGCGTGCTCGGCACAAAAAGAGCCGGGGGTTGGGTGGCGGCGCAGCCCCCTTCATAGAAGGCTTAGAAAGGGCTTATTTACATATACACACATATATCCGCCGACCCCAGCAACAGCGGGGCGGCGTCAGTGAAGACCCTCCCTGCCCTCACCGCAACCTCTTCTTCCTTCCCCTTCCCAACCATTCCACTCCACCTCTCCACTTGGCCTTGCCTTCTGCCCCTAACCTCCCACCACCAACCCCTTCCCCTGCCCAACCATTCCACTCCATAACCCTCCCACCACCAACCCTCCATCCTCCTCCCCTACCCCTTCCCCACCCCCAATCCACCCTTCTCCCTCATCTCCTCCACCTACCCCCCTCAACCCCTTCCCCTGCCCCTCCCACTACCCTTCCCCTTCCCAACCATTCCACTCCATCCTCCTCCCCTACCCCTTCCCCCCTTCCCCCATTCCCTTCCGCATCCCTGCCCCCCCCTCTCACCGTACCCCCAACCCCTGACCCTTCCACCACCAACCCCTTCCCCTGCCCCCTTCCACTCCACTACTTCCCCACCTCCCACCCACCCACTTACCTCATCTCCTCCACCGACCCCCCTCCCCCCCACCAACCCCTCTGCCCCCCTCCCCACCTCCCCCCTTCCCAACCATTACTCCGCCCATCCCGCCCCGACCCCTCCCCTGTCCCCCCCTCTCACCCAACTTGCCACCCGTTCCCCACCCCACCCCCCCCCCCCCCCCCCCCCCACCCCCCCCCCTTCCCACGCAGGCCTTCTACTCCGCCCCTCACCCATCTCTGCTGTTTCAGGGCCAATCCTGACCTCATCTCCACCCTGCCTTCCACCCCCCAACTCCCCCCCAACCCCCCGCCCTAACCATGGCCCCCAATGGCTCCATGGCCTTGATGGTGCCCTGGCCCTCTGCCTACTCGCTCATATGGTTCCACGGTTTCACGGCCTCTCCCCCTTTGCCTCTCTAGACTTGATCAGATCAAGGCCTCCAGCACATGCCCGCCCCCTCCGCCCGCTTGCTCCGCCCTTCCCCCCCACCCCCACCCCAGCCGCCCCCCTTCCCCCCGCCCACCGTACCCCCAAATCCACCCACCACCGACCCCTTCCCGCCCTCCCACTACCCTTCCCCTTCCCAACCATTCCACTCCATATCCTCCTCCCCTACCCCTTCCCCAGCCCAATCCACCCTTCTCCAGCCACTTACCTCATCTCCTCCACCTACCCCCCCTCCCCACTCCCACCACCAACCCCTCCCCTGGCCCCCGCTCCCCACCACCCTTCCCCTTCCCAACCATTCCACTCCACCCCCACCCCGCTCTCCTCCCCCTTGCCCCCATCTGTCCCCCCTCACCCCCCCAACCCCCCCTCCCGGCCCTGCGCCCAGTTTTACGGGCCTTTGGCAGCAAAGGGCTCCGCCCTCCGCCCACCCTCCCCATCGCCCCCTCATTTCGTCCCCCCAACCCCCCCCCCCCCGGCCAGCTGGCCATGGCCCCCAATTCTCCATGTTGATGGTCCCCTGGCCCTGTGCCTACTGGCTCATATGGCCTCACGGTTTTACGGGCCTCTGGCCCTTTGCCTCTCTAGACTCGATCAGATGACTGACTTTAAGGGGCTCCAGTGCATGCCCGCCCCCTCCGCCCGCTCCGCTTGCTCCGCCCTTCCCCCCCACCCCCCCCCCCCCCCCCCACCCCAATGTCTTCTTCAGAAAATGCTCCAAGTTTGGGGCTCCGAGATCAAAGTTGCATACCGCATCAGAGGGCTCTGTCCAAGGATTGAAGTGGCAAATTTCTTGGTCTGTACAAAGAATGAAGCGGCAAACCCATAGGTACGTAAGCAGAAATCCAGGCCCAGATGCAACGAAGGCTACAACCTAGACCCTGATGGATTTAGGGTTTGGGGTCTAGGGTTTAGGGTTTACTGGGTTTAGGGTTTAGCGGGTCTCGAGGTTAAGAAATTGGAGCTCAGGAGGGTTTAGACCTTGGAAAATTTGGGGTCGGCGGCACTGGCGGTAGCCATTAAATCGGGCAGCGCGAGGTCCCCAAAGGACCGAGCAAATGCGGACCTTTTAGCCCGGGTCGTCCCGGGAATAGCCTTGCTGGCCTCTGGCCTTCTGCGAAGCAGAATTAGGCCGGACGCCAGTGCCGCCGACCCCCGCGTGCCGCCGGTGAACGGTTTTTTTTTTCGTGGTTTTTTGCGTCGCCACGGAGGCCCCCAGAGGGCGCGCATCATGAGCATCAGCGGGTCCAGCCCGGGACCCCCAGGCGCGCATCAGGAGCATCAGCGGCTCCCGGGGCGGGACCGCGGGGGGTATCAGGAGCATGATGCCCCCCAAAGGGCGGGCATAAGCGACGTGTCTAAGCCCGGGGCTAGGAAAAAGGGAGTTTAGGGGCCTTATAAAGTGCTTAGAAACGTTAAGGGAGTCTAGGAGCCTCAAACGCTTAGAGATTTGAAGGGAGTTTAGGGGCCTGAAAAATGCTTAGAAACTTAACGCTTAGAGATTTTAAGGGAGTTTAGGGGCCTCAACATGCTTAGAAACTTCTCGCCCCGGGCTTCTGCGTGCGCTGCCCGCCCATGGGCGCAGCCCCTTAAATATATATATATATATATATATATATATATATAGCTAGGGTTAAGGGTTTATAAGGCTTAGTGCTTACAAGATTTCGGGTCTCGAAGGTTTAGGGACACACTCCTCTGAATCCGAGCGTCGCCAGCGTACTTCTTGGCCGACAACTTCGGCTTCAGGTCCTCCGACGCCGCCTTCCATGTCCTTGGTTGTAGGGTTCAGCAAGGGTTAGGGTGGGTTGAGGGTTTAGGGTTTCGGGTTTAGGGTTTACGGTTGAGGGTTTAGGACTTGCAGGGTTGAGGGTTCTTGCGGAGGTCTTGGCTGTTGGAGTGCAGGATTTTGGGCTTTGAGGGCTCAGGCTCTAACCCTACTGAAACCTGTCACGCATCAATTTCTCTGAGACCTAAACGCACATCCTACACTCGTCAGCCCCAGACTGATCCCTATCGAGTCCACCCCAAAAAACACCTAAGCCTTGCGAAGGATGCCCTAAAGTACAGCAGACTTCAGAGCCCACGAGAGCCCCGAACGCCGCCCCCTCCGCCCCGCCCTTGCGTCAAACCCTAACCCTCCACCCTAAACCCTAGCCCTAAACCCTAAACCCTAAACTCTATAAATCCTAAACCCTAAACCCTAAACCCTAAACCTTACCTGCCCCTCGGCCTCTGGGGGATGAGCATGGGCAGAGTTTAGGGGTCTGTCGTTTGCTGTCTTTGGGTTTAGGTTTAGGGTTTAGGGTTTGGGGCTTGGGGTTTGGGGTTTAGGGCTTGGGGTTTATGGTTTTGGGGCTTTCGGGTATTGGGTTCAATCGCCATGAACCCTCCAAGTCCACCTGTAGAACCACACAAACCATGGAGGCGCAGAGAAAACAAAGTAGCCCTAAACCCTAAACCCTACAAGGTGCTGCCGGGATACCTCTCCTTGTGGATGTCTGCCACGGCTTCAGCGATGGCCTCGTTGGCGGCATCCAGGACCCTGGCCTTCTCCTGCTGGATGGTTTAGGGTTTAGGGTTTAGGGTTTAGGGTTTAGGGTTTAGGGTTTAGGGTTTAGGGTTTAGGGTTTAGGGTTTGGGAGGGGGACGCTGTGGACGCTTGTCTGTTGTAGAGTTGTGGCTATTGTTTTTCATGTTTTTTTTGTGCGTGTGTATCACCCAGATGCCAAGTCACAACCAGTTGCAGCCGAGGTACCTTGGATGCATAAGCATAAAAAGACTAACAGGAAGGACGTCACACTCTATATATATATATATATATACGTGTAAGCTCAGCCGACCCACCCTCAGGAGCACAGGTCTTTTTCATTTTGCTTTGCCCCAGCTACTCACAGTGAGGAAATCTATATCCTCGGGATGTCCCCATTACTCCGATCATCGACGCTACAGTGACGCTACCTGACGACAGCTTACAGACATGATGACCCGGCAATCTATCCAGCAGTGAGTAGATTGCCTTCAACCATGCCCAGGGCCCATTTCGGCTGGCCGGGATAGCAAAGTGGCCTGTGCAGATATTTCGTGCCTTTTGAACTGCGACTATCTCAGCGAATTTGAAGACACGAAGGACGTTCATGGTGCCATCTTGGTTGTTGACGATGATATAGGACAAGACACACCCGTTCGGTAGGTCTGCTGGAGGCCGCAAATGGGGAGGAAGACCTTCATACTCGAGATGGGCCAATTGAGTACATAGAGTACTGAGGTTACCCATTTCTGGGATTGCGCAGTGGAAGTCGAACATCAAGGTGCAATACCGGGCGACGTCATTGCGGCACACATACTTCTCAAAGGCAGACATGGACAAATCACATCCTGGGTCGTCTGGTGATTTCTTGACGTATGACGGCTCGTTCAGGTCCTTGATCGCCCACTCCTTGGAGCCGTGCTTGGCCATCGCCTGATCGATAAGTCTTGTGAGTGAATCCATGCTGCTGACGAATGCAGGCGAGAAGGACTACTACACGGCACGACGCTACAGACGAACTTGATACCGAGGTGACAGCAGAATATATGTGGGACTAGAGCATGTGAGTATATGCACAAGGTGCTCGGTCACTGCATATCGCTCAGGCCTTTTTTTCCTTGTAGTAGTGCACCGTTTGCGTAATCCGCAAGATTGCTATGTGCTTGGCCTACATATTCAGTCCGAGTTTATCATTGGCTAGATACAAGTCCCTCGTAACCTCTTCGAGGTCGCTCTGGAGTGTAAGGATGCGGCGCCTCAGTTCGGCCTTAGGCGTCGACGAGGAAGAGGAGCTTGAGGAAGACGAAGACGGCGAACTACTCTAATTCGTAACCTCAGCCACATCGTCCTTCACATCCTGGTGGGACTTGTTGTCATCAGTCTCTGTGTCATTCACGCCGTTTTTGGACTTCTTGCTGTGCGTGTTTCCTGAGTTGTCCACATTGTCGTTGTCAACATGTGGGCGCTTGTGGGTGACATCCTCACTGACAGCTGTCTCATGGCCAGCGTTGCCGACGACAAGGATAGGCGGTTCTTCCGGGCAGGCATCCATTGATGCCATTGCTGGGTTGATGATTTCTTCACCGTTCGTGATGGATGCAACTGCTGGGTTGGTGATCTCTTCACCGTTCGTAATGGCCTGTCCCTTCGTAACTGTAGCACGACCATTTGCAAGTCGTTTTGGCTTGGAGAGAGTTGTCAGCAGGCTCTCTTGAGCTGCAGAGGACCATATTTGATTGGATCCACGAAACTGCATTTTCGTCTTGACGTTGTTGTTCAAGACTTGAATCTGCTGTATGGACACGGGCACGCGCGTAGGATGGCAAGGTACTTCTCCCTGACGGATCGACTCGACAAGCTCTGCAGCATTGGGTGGTTGATCATGTGGGTTCCCGTCACGACGCCCTGGAGCTGGATGTGTAGGCTCCAGCGCCAGCATGACTCTTTCTCCATCAAACACTGCATCACCGATTACTTTGATGGACTGCATGATGCAGGCCGGTCTACAGGAATGTGAAGGATAATAAGCTTGCTCGAGCTGAGACAGTCAAGATAGATGGCGCATGACTGCAAATGATTCTGCATATACATGGCACACACCCAAATGCTCACCAAAAGATGTCAGCAATGGGACACGCGTTCGGAATCAGAACTCACTCATCAAGGATTTCATACTCATTCAGATATTTTAGCTGGATTTACTGGAAGCTATGTATACATAAATATATAGATATACACATATATTTGCACATGTATCCGCAAGCCAAGTCTCGCCAATCTGCAGCCGAGATACCTCAGGGCGATAGCGGCCCTACTCTAAGGTTCAGTTTAGGGGTTCAATAAAATACTTTATTTCATACAGACAGGCCCCCAATTATTAATAATATTAATAATCCGGGCCCTGCTCGTAAGAATAAGATTGCCTCAGGGAATTTCTTCCGAGCATCTCCCCTCGCCACCACCCATTATTAGTAATATTAATAATGGTGTGTGGTTAGGAGGGTGCTCCCATCCCGTTGCGTTCAGAGGACTTGTCATGTATATGCATGTTGCATATGTACATATGCTCACAGTGTGCACATCAAACGCAAGAAGCCTTGTGCTTTCCTGCCCATCGGTAGGCTTCCTTCCATAGTCCCTAAACCCTACACCGTCCTTGGGGGCCAGAATTATTTGAATAGAGTTTTTTTGGGGGGATGGAGGGGGGTATTCTAGAATAACTATAAAGGGACCATAAGGGAATAATACTAGTAACTAGTAACTATTCCGGCCCTCCATTACCGGGCGTCCTGGGCCGTGAGCTCCTCAAGTGCTGGAAGCGGAGCAGCATCGGCCCCGGCCGCGGGAGCGGAAGCTCCCGATCCCATGGCTGTGGCGGAGCTTCGAGGGTCGGAGGGTCTCAGAGCTTCCCCTGCCGTGTAAGGTCTGCCGAAGCTTGGGCCACATGACAGGAACACTCTGGGATGTGTCCCCCCTCTACCTCTACTAAGCGTCCTGAATAGGGATTCAGTACCCCCTTGTTATAATCCCTATGAGGGACTGTTAGTATAGGGGGAACATCGCAGGGAACACTTGGAGTGGAAGATTCCCCCCCCCCCCCCTGCAACTCTTGACCCCACGAACCTTGGAGTCCTTGTTTTGCCGCACCCGGAAAACTTTCGCAAACAGGACCGCGCTAAGAATTCTTCGAAGACTTGTGGCAGGACACACACACGCACACACACGCACGCACGCACCCACCCACACACACACACACACACACATTTTCCGACCCGGTCCAGACCTCTCTATGCAAGTCTGGAACGTCTGGCTCACACGCATTCCCTTATAGACAACTCGTCCAAGCGGATCCCTTGTAAGAAAGACCCGCCCACCCACAAAAAACATCTAACCCTAAGCCCTAAGTCCTAGGCAGTGAAACCCAAAATTTCGGCCTTATCGGGTTAGACAGGGCCACAGTGGCCAATGGAACTTTGACGGATAACGCAAATCAAGCAGAGACCAAGGTTGTAGGGAAAGCACGTGCTTGAGGACTTTTCTGGATCGAGTGTCTAAGTTGCCTTGTTCTTCTCTGAATCCTACAAGCGCCATCACTGAGGGACAGTTAAAGCTGGTGCCTGTAGATACTTCACAAAAGCCTGATATAGAGAGGATAGCGTATACACTTCTTACAAGACTTGGTGTAGGGCGGCTGTCTGGAACAATTAACAAGTGTCGCCTAGCCAGCAGCCTGCTGGTATGATTTCAGACCACTTAAGAGCTCAAGAGGGTTTAGGGTTTCGGGTTTAGGGTTTAGGGTTTAGGGTTGAGGGTTGAGGGTTGAGGGTTGAGGGTTTAGCTTTGGGAGTGGGCGCCGCGTTTCGTGTCTTGGGTAGAATTCTCTCTGTGTCGGACTGGTCCTCTGCAGAGGGCGCTGTCGCTTGCTCCGCACTCACCTGGAACTCTCTCAGCAACTGCTAGGGTTTAGGGTTTGGGGTTTGGGGTTTGGGGTTTGGGGTTTAGGGTTTAGGGTTTAGGGTTTAGGGTTTGGGGTTTGGGGTTTGGGGTTTGGGGTTTGGGGTTTGGGGTTTGGGGTTTGGGGTTTGGGGTTTGGGGTTTGGGGTTTGGGGTTTGGGGTTTGGGTTTCGGGTCGTTTTCGGGTTCCCTGGCGCTGGACGAAACTACGAAAAGAATCCTAAACTACTCCGAATCCCAACTAGGTCGCCCTGCAACCATATTATAGTCACCCGGAATAGGGTCAGCTTACTTTTCTCAGAGAACCTGGAACCATGAACCAAATAAAACCTAGGACCTAGTAAAGGCCAACCGAAGCAAACCCTAAACCCTAAATCCCACACCCTCAACCCTAAACCCCACACCCAAAACCCGAAACCCTAAACCCTAAGCCCTAGTATCCCAAAGGTCTGCGTTTTTGTTCCGGCCCGAGCCCTCCATCCCAAGATTTCAAACTTTAGGCTGAACCATCCCATCGTTTAGGGTTGAGGGTTTAGGGTTTAGGGTTTAGGGTGTAGCATTGGTCAGCTGAACGCAATCGTGTGAAGACATGCCCACCCGGAGGCCACCCAAACAATACTCATCACGAAACCAAACCGGAGCCAGCCAAAGCCAAGCCAGCCATTCAAATTTCACATATCGAACATGTTCAGAGGACACTGAGATAAAACACTGCGAATGCTTGGGACATTTGCGAGTCGTGAACTCTCGCCGAACTTGAGACGAGCTGTTGGGGTTTGTTTTGGGGGGTCACTTGGAACATTGGCCGATGCAGACAGAAGGCAAAGGAAACCCTCCCTCAGGTTTGCGTCGGGGACGGTCTGGGCCGAAGGGCCCTCTCATAGAAATGTTCAGGGCTTTTTTCAGGGTGTGAAGAGGGTTGCAGGTTGTCATATTTTCAGAGGGGCCAAGGATGTGCCTTTGCTCACTTGGGGCTAGAGGAAACGCCCCCTCAGGTTCGCGCAGGGGGCGGTCTGGGCCGAAGGGCCCTCTCATAGAAAATTCCGGGGCCTGAAGAGTCTCCGGGTTTTGACAAGAATCTCCCCCCACACCGAAGCTCACCTGGCCAGAAAACAAAACTCACTGGAGCGGTCAAAGCGAGGGGACCTTTCACGGCTTCCTGTGGGCTCCATCCTTACTGGGAGGGTTTAAGGTCCCCCTGCCTACTGGAAGGGTATTAGTTCCGCCTTGCCAACTGGGAGGGTCTAAGGTCCTCCTGCCTACTGGAAGGGTTTAAGGCGCCTGCTTACTGGGAGGGTTTAAGGTCCCCCTGCTTATTGGAAGCGTTTAAGGTTCTCAGAGGGTTTAAGGCGCCCCTGCTTACTGGGATTCCTGCCTGGGGTGAAGGGTACTAATATATATCTGAGTCGAGCTACCTCAGGGGTGTGCCTGGCAGGCTCTGCAGCCTAGCAGAGCCTGCCGCGGTCTCGCTGAGCGCTCGACTGCGCCCGCCTACCCTAACAGAGGTGAGAGGGGTGGCGGGCTGGGTTTAGGGTTTAGGGTTTAGGGCTTAGGGCTTAGGACTTAGGGTTTAGGGTTTAGGGTTTAGGGTTTAGGGTTGAGGGTTGAGGGTTGAGGGTTGAGGGTTGAGGGTTGAAGGGTTTAGGGGTTAGGGTTTAGGGTTTAGGGTTTAGGGTGTAGGGTTTAGGGTTTAGGATTTAGGGTTTAGGGTTTAGGGTTTAGGGTTTAGGGTTTAGGGTTTAGGGTTTAGGGTTTAGGGTTTAGGGTTTAGGGTTTAGTTTTAGGGTTTAGGGTTTAGGGTTTAGGGTTTAGGGTTTAGGGTTTAGGGTTTAGGGTTTAGGGTTTAGGGTTTAGGGTTTAGGGTTTAGGGTTTGCCAGCGAGCGCTGCATTTATGCATTTGGGAAGGCCCGAAAGGTCAGCGGTTCAGCACGTGGGACATCCTGGGACTCCATTTACCTACAGTTTAGTAGTAGCAACCCTTGATGAGGAGGTACAACCCATAAAGCCCTAAACCCTAAACCCTAAACCCTAAACCCTGAATCCCTAGGCAAAGAGGGTCCCAGGATGATATCGCCTTGACTTGTGCCAGTGTGCGAAGGTGCTTGTGGGCTTGGACTTCTCCACTTCCGACGCCCCTCAGGCCATACAACGCCTAGGGACTCCTCAAGCCGGCGCCTCGGGTTTAGGGTTTAGGGTTTAGGGTTTAGGTGCTGACGAGCAGCAGGTGAGCCAGCAGATTCAGCAACCATGGGGAATGCCATCGCTCGAATTGTTCGCTTCAGGCACGAGAGATCTGACAAATGCTCCCTGAATGTCTGCTTCGCAGGGCCTGCTGTGCTGCCATGCTATATGGTTGATTTGCATGGCTTGCTGTGCTGCCATGCTATGTCTGATTTGCATGGCTTGCTGTGCGGCCATGCGACGTACATCGAGCCCTCTCGCTCACATGAATTCAAGGTTGACATGAGAAGGACTCTTCATCACTCCTCCTTAATCTGGCTTCGGTATCCGATGCCTGATTACTGTACATATCGTCAACCTGTCCTTGCTTGTCGTAAAGATCTTCCATTACCTTCACGACACACTCTGCACATCATCCGCTGCTGAACATTCGAGGAATTTCGTAAACCCCAGCAGTATCTGTGGGTATGCACATGATCCCCTCCATCAGTAATGTAGAACGGGCCGTTGGGGATCTCGGGGACAGGGACCTCGACCTCCCTGATTTCAATTCGCGTCATCGGCTCCTGTGGGACCAAACGAACCATCGCCAGGTCAGCTTGCACTCCAATGGATCGGCAGGAGGGCTCTTCGGGTCGTTCTTCACGAACGCGATTGTTCATCTGATGGTGCAGTTCCATCTCCACTGCTTGCTGCAAACGACGGAGGCGCTTCACTCGTCGCGAGTTGTCGTGACCATCAAACAGGCGATACCAAATCCACCATAGGCCTTCCCAAGCAGCCACCAAAGCCACTCCAGCCAAAATCATCACGACATACAGCTCCAGAGATGTATCCAACGGGGTTGGTTCCTTTACTTGCCTTGCCCGGCAAGTTTGCACCATCATCATCAAAACAACCATCCTCGCCAATGAGGTCTCAGCTGTTCGTACGACCCGATCGACTATGCCCCAAAGGCCCACCAATTCCTGTAACCGCTGGCGTGGAAAGCTTTTGGTTAATAAGTCTGCCAATTGCAGCTTGCCTGGAACGAATTCCAGGGCCACTTGGTTCAGCTCGATCTTCTCCCTCAGGAAGGACGCCCGAACACGAAGATGTCGAGTTCTCCAGCTTGCGCTGGATGCCGGACTGGCCAGCACGATGGCAGCTTGGTTATCCACCTTCAGGCCGATTTTTGAATCACCCTTTTCAAATTGGTCGGTGATTGCTCGCATTGACATCGCCATCACCAAGGCCTCGATCGATGCCATCAACTCACATTCCGCTGTACTTAGGCATACGAAAGGTTGACGGGAGGACCGCCAACCAACAACGGTCCCCCTCCAGGTAATGACGATGCCGCTGTGGCTTCGCTCTCCGGTTGGAGCAAAGGATGCGTCGCTCCAGGCGGTCAAACCAGGGCCACTGTCCTGGATGCAAAGGGCATAGTTCATCGTGGCTTGCAGGTATGCCAGGAGCTTGATGCCGATGGTGATGCAGCGAGGAGCGGCCTTTGTAAGCAAGGAACCCATGGCCGCTACCGGAAAAGAGATATCCGGTCTGCTCCTTTGTGCAATCCACAACAACTCCCCACACAATCGTTGCGCTTGTCGTAGTTCACTTTCGGTCCCGGGGCTTTCACCATCCTCTGCAGTAAACGTCAACAACTCCCTGGAACACGGAATCGGCGACTTATGTTGCTCAGGGATGCCATGGGACCTCAACAACTCCATCACATACGGGCGTTGATGAAGAAATATGCCATGTTCCTCATTGGCCATCTCAATCTCACATCCCAGAAAACGAATGCCGCGGTCCCGGGTCATCACCTCCAATGGTGATGTTTTCCACACCGAACCAATCTTAGAAGCTGTCGCCGTGAGCAGAGCAAGTGGGGCACAAATCATCAAATCATCCACATAGACCAAGATTGTGCCATCTGGTGGATCCAGACAAGAACTCCCAGCTTCATAAATGAACCAGATGTTCGGTTCCGCCGCCCCTTGGTGAAGCCTCCACTGACGATTCTCGGTTTCGAAAACCATCTCCTTCATCATCTTGTCACGATAGTTCGCCCACAGCTTTGGTGATTGCCGTAGCCCATACATCCCATGTGTTAGCAGCCATTTCTCACCAGGTTGCACCAGGCCAAGTTGCACCAAAATCGCTGGGGGTGTAATCAAGTACCGCACCTGATCGGGACCAACGGGCATTGGAGTCAGCATAAAGGCCCCCGTTATGTCCAAGGATCCAGTGATCCATTTGCGATACATCGAATACACCAAAGTGCACCTCATACTCTCCGCTGCTGCACCGCTGGCGAAAACATCCTGAGGGGCATCATCAGCAAAATTTCCACAGCATACAATTCGAGCTTTCCGTTTGCATAAGCTCTCCTCGCCGCCAGTCTCTTGATTCTCTGCTGCTGGAGGCTTGAGGGTATACACCATTTTCGCTGGGAGATTCTGCACATTCGGGTCCCTCTCATACTGCTTCGCCTGCGAGGAACTCAATCGTTGAAACCCCTTTTCCACCACTTGTAGTTCCTTCTTGATGGAGGGCAGCCATTTCGTAGGGTTCAGCCTCACTTCCGCAGGACTCACATTGTGGGTATGTCGTAGGGGTTCTTGAAGGTTCCGAATCAGGTCTTCGATGTTCGGGGTGTACTCCGGCTCCATTTTTGCCATTCTCGGACCCAATCCATGTGACGGCCAACTTTCCAGCTTTGAAGCCATATCTTCACCCACTTCATCAGGCACGTCCTCCCACTCCAAGTGGTTCATGTAGCGCCGGCAAACATACTCCAGCTCTCCTCCAGGGTCATCAGATCCACAAACACGACGTAGTAGCGGAGGATCAGGGGAACCAATTTCGGGGTCATCGCCATGCTTGAACTCATCATCGACGAACACCTCCCAATCTCCTACATACTCAACCTCCTCCCAAGTGGCAGGGGTGTCCTCCTCCTCTTCCCATACGACCCGGGCTCCGCCCTGAGCCGTGCACTCCGGACCAGAAGAGAACACCTCAGACAAAGGTGTGGTTTCCAATGTCTCGCTCACCGAGAGCGCCTTCATCGTGTTTCCACCAGAGCATTCTGGTTCTTGTGGATCTTCATGAGGAAAGCCATGATCACGAGGAAACGCTAAGTCGCCTCGCCCCAAGCGATGCAACCCCGCCGGGGTGTAAGCGGAAAGAATCCACTTCCTTCCATCGTCCTTCACCCACGCATGTCGTCTTTTTGGGTCAAACCCCGCCGGGTGTTTTGAGACATCCACCAATTTTCCTTCAACCAGGGCTTGAGGATCTTCACCATGCTCGTGTAGGCATCGTTCACCCCGTGCAAGAGTGGAACCAAGATCACCTCCATGTTCCAACCAAAGCCCGGATTTCACTTCCATGGGCAGTTCCATGATGTAGTTGGTGGTCCCCTTCTCATTGTGGATGTCCTTATGCATCTTGGCCTCGGCGATGTGGTGCAACACAAGGGTACTCCATGTTGGCTGACGATCCGGGTACGATCTCTTAAGTTGCTGAAGAAGGTAGGCATTCAGGTACCTCGTCGTCCAAGGCAGTGCTTTGGCATTCGAGGTTATGCCATGGAAGGGTCCTTGAACATAGGCCCCCATCAATATCCCTTGACCCACAAGAGCCCGAGGATTTCGCAAATTGCACTTCACCTTGTCGAGTTCCCCCAAAATCTCTACGCACCCCTTCTTCTCATACTTCCCCGCTTCACACAATCGCCTCGCCATGATCTCCACCTCTGAGGTTTGGTGTGGCTGCAAACCACACATTCGGAGTTCGCCATCTTCTCCACCATCGCATTCCGCCAAGCGTGCTTGTAGTGCATCAAGTTCATCTGGTGCCTCACCTCCACACTCTTCCACCTTCATTGTCCTCAATCTCACTCCAGGGGTCTTCGAAGTGGCCCTTGTCATCGGCGGAGCATAGGACACAGGTGGGCCTTTTGGATATGGAGGAAGCTCATCATCCTTTGTAGAGGCCGGTTTTGAGTCCGGAGCTGCTGATGGTGGTGGCATGGGTGGCGGCGATTCCGGTTCCACCAAAATGGTGGGGGCCACAGTGTCCAAAGGTGGTGGATCACGGGCCACCCTCACATGTGTGGTTTGGATGAAGGTGCCGGTGGACTTCAGGATCACATGCCCACCTCGGATGTCAGTGGCCGGCCCCAGATACTTCCCCTGAAGCCAGTGAGGACTCAGATCCTCAACATCACACTAACATCACCGGTCTTGTACTTCTTGATCTTCACGTACACCTTCGCTCCATAGGCCACAGGCATGGGTGGCACGATGCCCAGTTTCTCACACCTTTGTTGGGCCGCTGCTGTCTGAATTGCCGTGGGCCAGTGTTCACGCGGAAGCCCAGCAGCATCAAGCAATATTCTCGCTCGCCTCTTCAGGAATCGAACTCCTGCCTCAGCCACTCCATTTTCAGCTGGCTCCGAGCCTGTTGATGTTGTTGGCAGCATTCCTTGCGAAAGGATCCACTTCCTAACCAAGTTGCCACGAAATTCACCTCCTCGGTCAGCATGAACCCTCACTACCGGATACCCCAGCGCCTTAATATCCACCACCATCTGTTGGATCGCCGGCAGCATAGTGGCGGCCTTTTTGTTTCGGACAGGCACGCAGTAGTACAAGGTCTCGGTCTCCAGGGGTTCTTTAAAGGTGGCTTTGAGCTTTTCCCATTCTTCTTTAGCCCTTTGTTCCTCCCCCACTGGAGGCAACTCCACCTCCTCCTCTTCCTCTGGAAACTCAGCCTCTTCATCCGATAGCGTCTCCTCGGGCTCCTCCTCTTTCCAGTCGTCCGGTATAGGGTGGCCCCGAACTTCATGATGGACTTCCATCCCATCAGCTTTGGGGATCCTGAAAGCCCCAATGACAAAGTACTTGAAGAACTTTCCGTCAGGAGATCGCCCATGTCCACGAAGAGGTCCAGCAACATCCACACTCAGGACATAGCCTGAGGGGTGAAGGGTGCTCCTATGCCTCCTCCCCGTCGCTGCATTCCTCACGCAGATAGCACAGTCCCTCCTGAAAGGTTGGTGGTTCCGCATGACGTGAAGTCTCCAGGCAGCATCGGCAGACATTTTTGAAAGTTTGATGCGACCACTGCCATCGGTGCGAAACACCCCAAACAATCCACTCACAACCTCCGTGAGCTCATTCTCCGCCACCATAGGGTTCGAAATGCCCATTTCATTCAGGTACAGCTGTGCATGGCCATCATCAACCCAAGCAATTCCAGGATCTTCAGCCGTACGAAACCTCCTCCTCTCCACCAAGAACTTAGGAATGCAACCACCCCGTTGGACCTGTCCTGCAGCCGCCAAAGCATGCAGAAACTGAAAGCGATTGCGGTGCGTCTCATACACGGCGAACTCGGCTGGAGTAGCCGCCACATCATGCGACAAGAGCGCCCCAATGCGACCATTAACTGCCGCCCATACCAGCACCTTCCACACCTTGGTGAAGTCGCCCATATTCATCATGGAGCCCACATTCACGTAGACCACATCCGTCAAGCGCCCCAACTGAAGCAAGGCATCACTGGGGCGATAATCGCCAGGCGGGTCCCAACGAATCACCCATGTCGCTGCACGAAGCAACCTCTTTCTCGTTCTTCGATTCAAGGCTATCTCCTTCATGCAATCCCAGGCGCTTTCCCGAGGGTGTCGGATCAAAAGCTCCGACTGCAGCTCCTCAGCATCCCTGAAAAACGGGGCCTTTGAAAGAGCCTCGCGCCCAGCCATAATGTCCCCAGTGCTAGCATACTCGCAAAGGCATGCCCACCAGCTTGTTGTCACCTGGTTCAGGACGTTCAAGGACTCCATGGTGGCCTCCCTCAACGTTGGAAGCTGGGAAGCCTCAAGCTTGGAGATAAGAACATGTGCCGTCGTCGCATCAATCTCCGGGCATCCATCCACGACTTTAAGAGGCATGCTTCCACCATCACCATCCACCAATTCACAGCACGATGGGGTCCAGTTAAGCTTGTAGCCCAGCTTCGAAATCACCTTACCCATCGGGACAATCATCTGGGTGACCTCATCGCCGCTCAGAAGGGTGCCTTGGCTGTTCTGCTTCATGATCGTCCGAGCATCGCCAGCCAGTGCCACATCCACTTGCGTAGCTTGGTCCCATTCACTTTGGCTCAAAGGCGGTCGCAGCGCATGGGTAGCTCCGGAATCCATCAGCGCTGCCCGTGGTGATGAGGTCGTGATGGACTGGTGATCATCACCTCCAAACAAGATCTTCAAGGTGGGCTTGATCGCCTTCAGGTTCTTAATCTCATTGTTGTGTAGGTTCAGGTGAAGAAGACCGAGGTGCACCTAGACCAAATAGCCCTTGCAAAAACGACCGACTCTGTGGGATCTGCACATCTGTTTGTACAGCACTAGGGCCAGGACCAGGTGTAGGATGGTTCTGCGGAACTCCTGGTTGAGCTCCCGCCACATTAGGTCTTACTGAAGACACACCAGGAAGGAGAAGTGAAGCAGAACCCATCGCTTGTCTCTCACCCGCCGAATAGTCTTGAAAATGCTGCAGCAGGCTTCCACTGGTACCCACCGTAAGGCCAGGTGGTGGACCAGGTGTAGGATGGTTCTGTGGAACTCCTTGTTGAGCTCCCGCCACTTGCACTACAGGATTGGTGGCCATTCGTTCTTCCATCCTTTCCAGCTGCAACCTGAGCGACCTCGCCTCATCCATAGCTTCTTCAGTCTTTCGCCGCTCATCTTGAATCTTTCCCATCATTCCACTATACAGCTCACTCATTGCCCCATCCAGTTGCTTCGCCACTTCAGCCTGAACCAACTCCTGCGGAATCCCAGCCGATCCAGAAGAAGGCGGTGTAGGGGGCGGGAAAATTGTTGCTCCCTCAGCGGAGCCATCACCTTGGCCATACCCAGTGGTACGTGGCCTCAGCCAAGGATTCTCATGCATCGGACTCCAAGCCGTATGCACCTCCACTCGACGCTGTTGGAAAAATTCGCCCAATCTGGAAAACCACATCGCTGCACGACTCGTACGAGCTGCCTCGGCGGTCCTCTGAAGGGCATTCGCTGCTGATGCCGGAGACTGAAGAGGTGAGGGTTGCAACCATGCTCTATCTGTAAGCCCAGATCCCATTGTCCGTGGCGGTTCCATATCCGTTGCCCCCATTGTAGCAGACCTCGGCCCCAAGCCCATTCCACCAGACTGTAAAACCTCTCCAGCTCCACTGCTGACATGCGATGACATTCCCACTGCTTCAACCCCAGATGGTGCATTCGCAGGCGCTGATCCATGTGCACCATTCATGAAAACTGCATCATTTCCAGGGGCGACACCAGGCCCATCAGCCACCGAAGTTGCACATGGGGCACGACCAGGCCCTGAATTCTCAGGCACTGATTGCACTCCAGTCTCAGGCGCTGATCTGTAACCATTCAAGGTTGCTGCAGCTGCACCCAACTGTTGCCCATCCTGTCTTCCATAATCAGGACCATGATCTTCACCAGAGAGCCTTGGGCCGCTTGGGCTCATAACCTGCTGACGAGCAGCAGGTGAGCCAGCAGATTCAGCAACCATGGGGAATGCCATCGCTCGAATTTTTCGCTTCAGGCACGAGAGATCTGACAAATGCTCCCTGAATGTCTGCTTCGCAGGGCCTGCTGTGCTGCCATGCTATATGGTTGATTTGCATGGCTTGCTGTGCTGCCATGCTATGTCTGATTTGCATGGCTTGCTGTGCGGCCATGCGACGTACATCGAGCCCTCTCGCTCACATGAATTCAAGGTTGACATGAGAAGGACTCTTCATCATTAGGGTTTAGGGTTTAGGGTTTAGGGTTTAGGGTTTAGGGTTTAGGGTTTAGGGTTTAGGGTTTGGAGTTTAGCCCCATGTATATAAAGCAACCAAAGGGCTTAGGGCAATCCATTAGGGTTTAGGGTTTTGGGTCGGGCAAGGGTTTAGTCCTACCGGCACCTCGCTGGCAAAGTTGCCGTGGGATGGCGCGAGGCCCTTCCTCAGTCGAAAGAGCCACGGGTTCAGTAGGCTTTCAGGCTTAGGGTACAAACATCATCTACACAACCCGCAAAGCAACCGAAAGCCGCATTCCTAAAGGGTGCAGAAGGTTAACCCTGCTGTAGACCCCAATCAATTGCCGATCGGGATCTTTGCAGGCATACTTTCTGGAACGAGACCGGGCTTGATGCAAATATAGGCAATTGTCCAAAATTGGGGACTTCATTATATTGCAGGAACCAGCCCCAAAAGGGTACCCCTGCTTGAAATGTACGTAGTCGCACCAAAGCCCGGTAACTTAGAGTGCTTCTCATCTCCGTCTGCCTTGCTTGGCCTTATCATCTAGACTCACCCTAAACCCTAAACCCTAACTCTGCAACCTACATCCTAAGCCAAGGTAGCCCAGAAAAGAAGAGCATGGCGTCATGCAAGACGCCGGCCCAGACTGGAGCTGAGAGGAGCCACTACTGTCTTGTTGATGCCTTTCAAACCCTTAAACAAACCCGAAGGCACTTTGGTACCTAGGGTTTAGGGTTTAGGCTTCCCCTAGTTACACATCTACTCTTTGAAGGACTACATGGGCACCGATTTCCCTCATCTCCCTAAATCCTCAAGCCCCTAACCCCTCTAAGCCCTAAACCCCTAAGCCCCTACACCCCAGCAAACCCCAAGCCCAAAACCCCTAACCCTAAACCCTAAACCCATAAGCCCTAAGCCTGTGAACTCCAAAAAGCCAAGCTGCGAGACACGGCACGCATCGACGTATCGGGGGTCGGCCTTCAAGCGCGCCACCTGTCAAACGAATGTATAATGTTCAGGGTTAGGGTTAGGGTTTGGGGTTTAGGGTTTAGGATTTAGGACGGATTTAGGATTTAGGGTTTAGGGTTTAGGGTTTAGGGTTTAGGGCTTAGGGCTTAGGGCTTAGGGTTTAGGACCTGTGAGCAGTGAGAATGCAGCACCGAACACGGTAGAACCACAAGCCAAGCACGACTAAGCCATGCGCTGCAAAGTCGCAGCCAGACATTCTCAAACCCGAACCTCCAAAACCAACCCTAAACCCTAAACCTTAAAACCATAAACCCCGAACTCCAAACTGTAAACCCTAAACCCTTACTAAGGGAAATCGGGGAGTAGGATTCCCTGTCTAGTTCATAATTGGGATAGTCTGTTAAAACTTTAGAATTCGATTCCTTATTGGGTTTTGCCTGATGCCCTACGAGTACAAGCCGGTTCAGGATAAGCACTGTCGCGGGGCTCAGGGTAGAAGGTCTAGGGTTTGGGTTCGGGGTTTGGGAATTGGGGTTTAAAGTTTAGGGATAAGAACGGGGGCAGAGTTTCAGGATTCATGATTCAGGAATTCGGGTTGTTTGGGATTAGGGGTGTGCCACAAGCAGAAGCAGAAGTGAAGAGGCACAATCACCTCCCTTGCCCCTGATCTTCTTCAGCCCTACATCTTGCAAACCAACCCTCAACCCCCCTAAACCCTAAACCCTAAACTCTAACCCTAAGCCCTAAACCCTAAACCCTAAACCCTAAACCTGAGTAAGGGGGGAGCGGAAGGAGCTGCGCTTCTTGCCTCCTTTCCGATGGCCGCTCTCTCCTGCAGATGTGCGCTGGCGAAGGCCTAAAACTCTAAACTCTAAAACATACTATGGGTTTACTTCGGGGATCCGAAGTATGGGCCCTTCATTTGGGTCCCCTGTTATATAGCCCTTATGTACACCATATAGAATAAGGGCCCATACTTCGGATCCCTATGAACAAGCGTAAGGGACCACATTAAGAGCCCATGAGCAACCTAGGAATAAAAGGGTGCTCTTATTGGTTGAAAGGGGTCTTTATGGGAGCCTAAACCCCAACAAAAGGGAATAAGAGCGTACTCTGGGTCCGAGTTTAGGGTTTGGGGCTTGTTGCTTAACTTAAGGTTTCGGAGCGGCTGTCAGCACGCACTTCACTTTCAGAAGTAACATCTCCTCACTCTTCTGGCCACGTCAGCAAAAGATACTCTGAGCAGCGAAAACGCAGAACCAACCCTGCGAAGCCCAAGGAGCTGGAGGGGATTTAGGGTTTAGGGCTTTAGAGGGCTTGGGGTTTGGGGGGTTAGTGTAAGGTTTAGGGTTTAGGGCTTAGAGGGCCTAGGGGTGGCGTATGGTAACTAATCGGGGTATGGGGGCCCCGTCTTTTTGGGGCAACTATTCCCACAATGCCTGTGGACTGTCGCACCTTGACCACAAGCAAACACATCGACTTTGAGCAGACATGCTGTGATGGCGAGCAGGAAGCTTTATCATGGGATCTCCTACTACCCCCTCTATACTACACCCCCACCCTAAGTTCCCCCCTACAAGTCAGGCTATTTGAGGATACTTGAGCCTAACTAAGGTTTTTCAGGAGGGAACCCATGACTTTAGGGTTCAGGATGTAGCAGAACCTCGCAAACGGCACCTTTCTTCGGCCCTAAGTGCCTAGAATTAAGGGCGTTCCAAGGGTAGTTTGGGGGGGCTCTGGTTAGGGGTTCAGGCGCAGGGTAGCTTCCCAAACTGGTAGAACTCGGAACCTACAGGTTCGGCCGTGAACTGCAGGAACCTCAAGCAACAGCTGAACCACCGAACCAATTGGCATACATAGGGGGCTTAGGGTTTAGGGTTTTGGGATTTATGCCTAGTCTTATATGATTGTAGGGACCGCAGATATACACACGACAGCAGACTTGGCCCAGATTTGCTCCCGCAAGTCCCCCTTTGAGCAGCAGCGTAAGCTCTAAACCCTAGCCCTATACCCTAAGCCCGTAAAACTCCAACCCTAAACCCCAAACCCTATGCCCTGTAGTCCGGCCTTCTGGTGATCTTTTCCATGCAGCTCGACTGCGTCGCTCTCCAGCCTCAAGATCTGTGCCTGTTTAGGGTGGAGGTAGGGTTTAGGGTTTCGGGTTTAGGGCTTAGGGTTTAGGGTTCAGGGATTAGGGTTTAGGGTTCAGGGTTTTGGGAATAGGGTTCAGGGTGAGAAGCCTGAAGCCTAGAAGGGTTTAGAGGTTTGGGGTTTACAGGGCTTCAGTCCCCAAAGCCAACAAAGCCTCCAAACCGTATGTACACCCTCAAGCCTCCTAGGAACGGAAGCCCTAACCCTAAGCACTAGCGACCATCGACATAGACAGCTCCAAGAAGTCCCTGAACCCCTAAATACTGAAACCTCGAAACAGCGCTACGACTCTGAATTCTCCCTCTTGCCCAAAACAAAACCCTGAGCCCCCTCAACCCCTCACCCCCCTCACCTCCTAAACCCTAAACCCTAAACCCTAAACCCTAAACCCTAAACCCTAAACCCTAAACCCTAAACCCTAGACCCTAGACCCTAAACCCTAAACCCTAAACCCTAAACCCTAAACCCTAATTAAACCCCAATCCCTAAACGACCCAAACCCGAAGCTGCGCCTCGACCTTGGACTTGAAGTCCTGGGCACCTTGATGATCATGGTGTTCTAGGGTTTAGGGTTAAGGGTTTAGGGTTTAGGGTTCAAGAGCTCCTGGTCGAGCAGTTTCTCGTTTTGGTTCGCTGTTTAGACCATCGAAAAACACCCACCCACCCGGAGTTCCCATAACATTGAGACATACAAAGTTTCTTCTTATGATTAGGATGGCTCAACAACAAAACTAATAGGGTTCGTTTAGGGTGTCAAGGGTTTAGGTCTCAAGGGTTTATTTAGGGTTTCAAGGGTTTAGGGACTCAAGGTTTTAGGGTCTCAAGGGTTTAGGGGCTCAAGGGTTTAGGGTCTCAAGGGTTTAGGGGCTCAAGGGTTTAGGGGCTCAAGGGTTTAGGGTCTCAAGGGTCGAGGGGCTCAAGGCCGGGCCTTGCCCACGAACTTTTGGGCCTTGCCCACGAATTTTTGGGCCTTGCTCACGAATATTTGGGCCTTGCCCTCGAATATTTGGGCCTTGCCCACGAACCAAAAGGCTCAAAAATTCGTGGGCCCAAAATCCGGATTTGAGCCTTGCCACGAATATTTGGGCCTTGCCCACGAAGCTTTGGGCCTTGCCCACGAATATTTGGGCCTTGCCCACGAATACCATTAAGGTTTATAATAATATGGTAGGAGAGGTTTAGGGTTTAGGGTTGAGGGTTTAGGGTTTGGGTGGGTTCCCGCCCTCTCTCGGCCTCCCTTCTACTGCTTTGCTTATTTATTGAAACTAAGCTGGAACCGCCCAGCAGCGAGCCTCCGAAGGTTTAGGGTTTGGGGCTTAGGAGCCGGGGGAGTTGGGGGTTTGGAGTTTGGGGCTTAGGGGCTCCCTGGTCTTCAGGGTTTAGGGTTGCAGGGTATCAGGGGATGAAGCTCACAGGCGGCGCCTGCGGGTTTTGCATAGTACTGGGGCTGAGGGTTTTACTCCAAAACCGTTCAAACCCTACGCCTTTTTTGGCAGCTTGTAGTTTCCCAGCCCAGACATTCAACAAGATGACCTTCCGAAAGCGGGCGTCTGTTTATGTTCAGCCTACCCGAGGACTTCGACCAGGCGAAGCCCCAGACCCGAATCCTTCACGAGTCTTAAACCCTCCTAAACCCTTAGCCCGAAACCCTACACCT